ACTCGTTATCCTAATCTCCACAATGGTACCCCGTTATGGTGGATGAGGAAGATGAGCAGCACAACGTGGTAACAACTTGTTGGAGACAACTTGCGCAGCTTGAAGATGTGAATGATATCTGAAGTTTCAGTGACAGGTGGCTACGTTTTTATGCGATTCGGCGGTGTTCCGATGACGTCATGACGCATTTGAAGAGCATTCGGGACGTTCTTTCTGTATTCGAGGTGTATTCGATGAACATACTGTATTCCAAGTGCAATCGAAATATTCCGATACCTTTGGAGAATACTCCACCTAAATTCCACCTGCAATCGAAATACATTCGAGGTGCACTCGGGACATTCCTGCAGGATTTGAAGTGGCTTGCCTTTTCGATTCTCCCTCGAATACGTTCAGAATACTTAGAATGCAGTAAGAATACTTAGAATGCAGTTTCAATGCACTTCAAATGTTGTTCGGTATTTTTCCACTTCGAATGTACCTCGAAAGTTTTGAACATGTTCAAAACATTCGGGCATGTTACAAGAATTGACACAAATAGTTGTAGTGCATTCGGAATGGAGCAAGAAGTTTTAAAATGCAGTTCGAATTTCCAAGAATCTCCAGGAATTTTTATTCCGACGGCATTCCGGCTCATTCCGCGCGACACGCCGAAGACCCGGGTTCGATTCCCCACAAGAGTACAATGTGCGAAGCCCATTTCTGGTGTCCCCAGTCGTGATATTGCTGGAATATTGCTTAAAGAGGCGTAAAACCCGACTCACTCACTCACTCACTCGACCATGCAGTTCGAAGAGTAGGAGAAAAACTGGACTAAGCGCTGTAAGCCCTTGTTATGCTCTCGTATGTTATACCCTCGAAACTGATTCCTCAAAATAGTACGTAAGCAATGACGTCAAACTTGCAATCTGAACCCGATTTCACGGTGAATATATATACTGAACAACATTAGAAACGCACCACCCATATAATACGAAATATCCCCGTCAGACTGAAATGTACCCATGATATCTGAGCATCGTCGGTGCATTTCTAATGTTGTTCATTATATTTTTCACTCACTCACTCACTCACTCACTCACTCACTCACTCACTCACTCACTCACTCACTCACTCACTCACTCACTCACTCACTCACTCACTCACTCACTCACTCACTCACTCCTACTCACTCACTCACTCACTCACTCACTCACTCACTCACTCACTCACTCACTCAGACCCGCATTGGTTAATATGTTCCTCCAACATTTAGCTGGCACGTCGTCTTAATGGTAAAATACACCCGAAGAGGCGTTACAAGTAACTTACTTACTTACTGCAAGCAAAAAGTGCAACCTAATTCTTTACATTGAAGTAACACAGATCTTTATATATGGCAAAGAAACAAGTTGTTCATGATTAACCTCTTACTTAGATATTATTCTCACAAAGAGACTTATACTTCAGCTGATATAGCCCGTTGATGACTGTGTTAAGCTTCCAGTTGATCAACCATTGTTTGACCAATCCCATGGCTGACCAGGTCAGTTCGTAACTGGCTTTATACCTTAATCCCATTATTTGTACAGTTCATGCATATACAGAGCTGGACAAAACCAAGTATACATAAGTTTAATTTATAAATGAAGACAATATCAAACTCTTTTTCATCCATACACAACCAACACTTTTCTCGGACATATTCTTTGAGGTGTGCAGACGAAATATACCATCGGAATTTAGCCAAATTAAGTGTTGAATGGTTTATTTCTGCAGCAGCTATTTTTGCTCCTGACTGTAAGAAGAGATTACATTACCAATGTTCACTGACCTTGACATTGTCGTTGTACTGACATTGAACATTGTTGTGTTATACGTTGTATGCTCAATGTGAGACAAGTTTGGAGACCGCCCAAGGAGTGACTTCGTGTTTTCTCCTGTGTACATGCCATAACTGAAGTTCTAACGATACAACCCGTAGTTGTATGATGACGTTTCCATGTTTAGGCAAACGTTTTAGGATCTACCAACCTTTGGATAGTCCAACGAGGCCTCTTGTGCGAAGGCCTGGCAACTATTTTCGAAAAAAGAAAGTTTTCCGGGATTTTCGTCTGCCAACAGTGCGCGATGTCGACGAAATGAGTGATGTGACGGAAGATGCTCTACTGACGAACCGGTCAAACAGCTCAAACATCCGTCACCATGGACATACTAAGAAGAAACCCGCGAGTGTGCCAAGAGACACCACCGATGTCCATCTGTCCGCCAGAACGACCAGACAACTGGTGATTCACCAGCAGAAACTGATGTTTAAATACCAGAACCTGGAACACCAGTTCAAAAAGTTGAAGAGCAAGGCTGGTCTGATTAAACTTGAATTGGACAAGATCAGAGTCATGAAGACTCCCGAACCGGAACTGCCTTCAATTACGTTGAACACAAAAACCGACCATGACCCTCCACGATCTGGATCCAATTCTCCTCGCCCGACCTCCTCTACCACTTCCGGGTCAAGGAGTGGAGCTACGTCCTCCGCATCGTCCAAGGTGTCCCTCTCCTCCAACGCTGACACAGCAGCTTCGTCAAGCCTCCATCTGGGGTCGTCCTGTGTGATCCGGTCGTGTTATTCTTGCAGTACCTCGTCCTGCATTTCTCTCAGTGATGGATCCGTCGATCTTCCATCTCTACCCTCAGCCTCCTCGCCCTCCCTGTCTTACTCTCTCTCACCTTCCCCTACCTGACGTTCTTACAGGTCAGGAGTGGTGTGGTAGCCCGGCGGTTGTAGCGTTCGCTCGTCACGCCAAAAACCGGGGTTCGATTCCCCACATGGGTACGATGCGTGAAGCCCATTTCTGGTGTACCCTGCTGTGATATTGCTAAAAAGAAGTGGCGGCAAACTATACTCACTCACTCACTCCTATTTGGGCATTGATCAACAGGACCTGTTTTTAACCTTAGTATTAATGTATTCTGTGACTCTTATATTGGGATTCCTCATCCAATGAGAAGGTAAGGAACGTGGCAAGCAACTATGTATACTTTTACAATGTAAATTAGAGGCATCGATGTGGACATAGCTATATACGATTAAATGGAAGCAAACGTGACAAAGCTGTACACATATATCCGCCTCATACATAAATAATTTGTTTGGCGACAGTTGTTGTGATGTGAAATAAAACCGTTCCATCATTTCGATCTTTTATTCCTAGAGGTAGAAGTCTTATTAACTCAAGGGGTGGTGGGGTACCCCAGTGGTTAAAGTGTTCGCTCGTTACGCCGAAGGCCCAGGTTCGATTCCCCACATTGACAGTGTGAAGCCGATTTCTGGTGTCCCTTGCTGTGATGTTGTTGAAATGTTGCTAAAAGCGGCGTAAAACCCAACTCACTCACTCTTGTTAACTCGTGAGGACTCGAAGTAATTAAACAATATCTCTATCACTCTATTAATGGCCATATCAGGCGACAAAATCGACCAGCTATTCAGGTTTTGTGACTTGATTGTGTCTTATCGTACCTCGAAGATTCTTATCGAAACATATCAAATCTTTATAAAATTTCAGAACTCAGCTTGACAGTTTTCGATGTTTTCTGTGGAAGAGACACGTCAATGTTAGGAAGAAGATTTCCGTCACACTAGTTTTACCGGACTTGATTGAGAGTATGACTTCATGAGCAAAAATATGATGAGTTCTTTTGCGTTTAGGTTTCGAAGTTATGTCAAGCCCGATAGCAGACTAATTTGTAGTATTATTGCTCAGTGTGACATGATCATGTGACAACATATTGTTGTGTGATCATGTGACGACATATTGTTGTGTGATCATGTGACGACATGTTGTTGTGTGATCATGTGACAACATATTCTGAAATATTCATGTGACAACATATTGTTGTGTGATCATGTGACGACATATTGTTGTGTGATCATGTGACGACATATTGTTGTGTGATCATGTGACGACATATTGTTGTGTGATCATTTGACGACATGTTGTGAAGCGATCATGTGACGATACATTGTGATGCGATATGTGACAACATATTGTGAAGAGATCATGTCACGACATATTGTGAAGAGATCATGTCACGACATGTTGTGAAGCGATCATGTGACGATACATTGTGATGCGATATGTGACAACATATTGTGAAGAGATCATGTCACGACATATTGTGAAGAGATCATGTCACGACATATTGTGAAGAGATCATGTCACGACATATTGTTGTGTGATCATGTGACCACATATTGTGAAGCGATCATGTGACGATAAATGGAAATGCAGTCAAGTGACGACATATCGTGATGCGATCATGTGACGACATATTGTGACGTGATCATGTGACGAAATAGTTATCCTGCAATCAGGGACGGACATTGCAACTTCAAATCGGGTCGACTTCTTTTGAAATGACACGGTGATTAGAAAAGACACACAAAAAACCAACAACAAAAAACACACACACCGAAAGTGGAAGATCAACGTCTTGGGACAAAGTGAAAACTCCTTACATTCCCAGGTATCTTGAGATGCAATAACTCATATGTCTTTACCCGCAAATAGGGAATCACCATGCATATCCCGTCGTTTATCCATATCAAAGAATACATCGAACCATCATTTCTGACGTGTACGTGAGTGCCAGCTGGTCCTCTAGATTTAACGGAGAAGGATACGTTGAGTCTGTAGATATACTTCTTGTAGAGCTACTTCGATCAGCCTACCCCAGAAACACGAATAACTTGTCCCATCCAACCAATCTGTCTCTAATGCAATTAGCCTCAAATGGCCATTACCATTGATTATAAGATGGAACCTTCCAATTCCGTCTCAGAATGCAGTTACCCCCCTTTGTCAATTTTCATGCATCATTACTTGATTTTAATATCATGAAAAAATGTATCAATAGTTTAATATGACATATTTTGGGATGTGAGATAATAGCTTTACAGACATCCATGCATTTTCATGCATTTTTTGCTGATAGTTTATTACAATTATTGAGGAGGGAAATTTTCAACATGAATAACCCAGCACCCTTACCATATCACCCGAGGTCTGTACCTTGGGAGGAATAAGACAGGGCAGACGACATCGTCTGGAGACCACAGAGCAGACGGCATTGAAAGGGGACGTCAGACGACAATCAAAATGAAGGAGATTGAGCAAAAGGTAAGACATTTGTTTTGCCGTAAACCTCTATATAGCAATTATTTATGAAATTGCTATATACACATGGATGGAATGACACAGATGACGTCATGTAGCAGACGAATGCCCTAAGAATTCATTGCGGGTATTGTCAGATACTGATGCATAAACTGAAGAACGACATGTCGACATGTATATTTTGTCGGGAGAAAGAATTATGCACACATACTTCAACATTCAAAATGAGTGAAGTGCATTTGTACAATTACACTCATTTAACCTCTTGCAGAATGTGGAAACATACATTTTGATTCAAGATTACAAAGTCCAGTGTAACTGGCCTGGACGTACATGTATAACCCACTCAGTCCAATATACACAATGGTTGCTGAATGCCATGTGTCATTAATGTGTTCTCATTCCACATTCACGTATTAAAATGAGGGGTTGAACCTTCAAAATCATAATTCAGACTCTACCAGAACAAGGAACATCACCCTCATGGTAAACCCCGCCTGAAATCGATATGATGTGGACTTACTTTGATTTGCATACAAATACCCATTAGAGATAGTATTTAATCACTACCGGCTATTCTCAGGTCCAGTTCCAGCTAAACTATCACTAAGTTCTCGATGCCGACGTTGCTGACGATCTAGCTGTTTACCCGACAAGATCTAATGGCTCCGCTAACTGTACTAGTCGATATATCTATACCTGTATGCCATGCATCCAATTATGTCGTCCTTGTTGTCATGGTAATAACAGAAATCAAATCCAGGTCTAGCGAATATATATTGGTGAGTTAATGGAAGAGTGCACTCACACGAACCTTCCGTTGATACAAGGCGCTCCAATCACGCAGCTAAAGTAGTCCCCCAGTAAATGATTCATTAATGCCTGTTTCTCATGTCATTGAGGTTTTTTCACAGAAACTGTTTTAAAAGCAGCCTGAAGTGGACTAGCCATCATAAATATTTTTGGTTTTCTTTTTAAATCTTAAAAGAATAATGGGGCTATGAACTAATTTTGACACGTTACTTGGATTTTACTTTACTTTCTGGCTAGGTTCATTCAGTGCCTTACTACCTAAGCTTAGTTTCCCAGTGTAAAACTAAAAATCAGTTTATTTTTGGAAATCCATGTCCTGTTGTATGATTTGCTTAAATATTGATTGCTGCCACACATTCAGGTACCACAATCACATGATGGCATACATCGATACAGTACATAGCATCAATTAAGTCACACAGCCTGACCACCCGATCCATTTAATCGCCTCTGACAAGTAGTTGTGGTAGTAGCAGTAGCAGAAATAGTATGAGTGAGTGAGTGAGTTGGGTTTTACGCCGCTTTAAGCAATATTCCAGCAATATCACGGCGGAGGACACCAGAAATGGGCTTGACACATTTTACCTATGTGGAGAATCGAACCTTCGGCGGAAAATAGTAGTAGTAATAGTAGTAGTAGCAGCAGCAGCAGTCGTACTAACAGCAGAAGTAGTAATAGTAGCAGCAGCAGCAGTAGCAGCAGATGTAGTAGTAGAAGTAGTAGTAGCAGCAGAAGTTGTAGTAGTAGCAACAGCAGTCGCAGTAGCAGCAGAAGTTGGAGTAGTAGCAGTTGCAGTAGTAGTAACAGCACCAGCCACAGCAGTAGTAGTAGTAGTAGAAGTAGTAGTAGTAGTAGTAGTAGTAGTAGTAGTAGTAGTAGTAGTAGTAGTTGTAGTAGTGAGTCTTGGTATATTGATTCTAATGTTTTGAAGTAGTGTATAGTGTGTTTTTAATTTTTATTTTCGAATGTTCAAGAAGAGCCCTAACACATGTTAATTGTTTTCTATTATAGCTTTCCATAACAACATTGCGAACTATGTCTTGTGGCCGGTGGGGTAGCCTAGTAGCTAAAGTGCTAGCTAGTCACGCCGAAGACCCTGGTTCGATTCCCCACATGGGTACAATATGTGAAACCCATTTCTGGTGTCCCCCGCCGTGATATTGCTGGAATGTTGCTCAAAGCGGCGTAAAACCAAACTAACTTACTCACTATGTAATCAGCATTTCGGGTGTTCTAATCCATTTTGTGGCACACGCTTATCATGGACAGAACCAGCACGGATGGTGTCCTTAGCATCTGATGGTGATTCCAAGAAACACATTCTCACCATATGGGGAAATCTGACGATCCGACGTTTTAGTGGAAATTTAATATATTTGTGGAAAGGAGTTTGACACTTTTGTTTGTATGTACACTTCTCAAAATATGAAAGAACACCCGGGTCTTCCATATTACGCACTTAAAACGACTAAAGCTGATATGGTTGAAAAGGGGTGTCAATCAGACTAATTCTGAGCTGATATGAAATTATATAGCATTTGACATATGTGTAAACGGTAACACAGATTATGTGGGCAAGAGGTGTTTGTTGTGTCTTTCTCTCACTGTACTTCCATGCCTTATATCAATACTGGTCTTTAAATATATATTAATATTATTCATAAAACGACACCATATTGACAACACATTTCACGTTAGTCAAAAAGATGAATACTTTGAACAACTCGAGATTCAACTTAAATGAATAGGGCAGCTGAGACGTCCTTACTAAGGGGGCGGTGGAGTAACCGAGTGGTTAAAGCGTTGGCTAAAGGCCCGAGTTCGATTCCCCACAGTGTGTGAAGCCCATGTCTGGTGTCCTCCGCAGTGGTATTGCTAAAAGCGGCGTAAAACCTAATTCACTCACTCCTTGCTAAGGACCAGTCATCGACGTGATCGTGTGTATGCATCCTGAATGACACAGATGGAAAACATTGCTTCAGTCTGGAAGAGTACGTAAAATCGTAACCTTGTTCCGTGTTGATTCCAGTCTAAGAAAACTTAGGCTCAGTATTATTCGTTACACTGCAATACTGAGTATAGTGGTGTAACGAATAATACTGAGCCTAAGTTTATTTAGACTGGTGTTGATTCTAAGTTGAAACAAATACAAGAGTACCTGAAACCAGTCTGTAAAAGGACTTGGCGTGAAAACAACACACAAAGCATTGTGATATAATTAACCAGTTTATTCTAAAATCATGTAAGTTTAAAAACAAATACAAATCACTATCAAGGTATTACACTGGCAGTCACTACTCAAAGGTAGCATTGTACAAAAGCCGTCATTGTAGCAATAAAGGCAGGTAACTGATGTTTACCTAACTGCAACAATGGTAAAGTTTCCATAGAGTAGGCCTTGGCTTAGTATCCAGGGTAAGAACGATCTCCATACAATGGCTGGTCTTCTTGTAACTTGGGATGCGAGATGCGAGGAAAGAGCTTTCTTCCCTTATATACGTATACTCTGTCAATACCGGCCTCTGTAAACACCGGCACTCTGTCTACATCGGCACAAAGTTTCAGTCCCGGCAGAAATGCACGTTATTATCATTTAGAAACTTCTGCAAACATCGGCATCTGTCTATTCAGGATATCGGCATTGTTTTTCAGTCCCAACGAACAAGTTGTTATGAAAACCAATCTGTAAAAACCGGCACATGAAAGACGGCGTAACCCTTTGATGCAATTAGGTCCAAAAATGATGTAACAACACAATTCGCTGTGACTCCCGAGATTATTCAGAAACGGGAAGTGTTAATCAGTATCTTGTTAATCAGTGAGTGGTACGTAACACTTACCCTGAGTAATTAATACATGTAGTGGGCAGTTTGACTGTATAAACAAGCAAGTGTTTACATTTTGTTGATTCGCGGGTATTGACTCCCGAGATTATTCAGAAACGGGAAGTGTCAATCAGTTTCTTGTTAATTAGTGAGTGGCACGTGTCACTTACATAGAGGCGAATCGTTTGATGGCGGGTATCGTTCGAAAGCTCTGAACATCAACAATATCACTGTACTCTTGCCGAGAGTATTTTCACATTTGTAAGAAGCTTTCTAACGACGCTTTTTCACTACACTCTGCTTATAAGGCTCGTGATTGGTCAAAATCAGACACGTGACCTAAGCAGCCAATCATATTATGGAAATGGATACCGTCCTCGCAAACGAAAAATTATGGAACATATTGGACATATCGTGCTAGGTTACGGCCTATGACATAAATGCTTCAAGCATATATTTTCACATTAAGCATCGTGTCCGGGCGTCAAGACGGAGGCGGTGAAAGCCGAGATGTAACTTGTCAGTGACTTGACTTACATTGCATGATCGCACAAAAGTATGGAAATAGTAATTTTATATGTACGTTTGACAACTTTTATGAATGTTATTGTTGATTTCAATTTATTTAATGATTTCCTCGATGTTTGAAACATCGTTACTTTGCTCTTTGACAATGCTATTGTAGACCCGCTGCCGAAGCATAAACAAGAATCGTTGTTTTCAATAACATTGCGAAAAATAGTTTATAATTTTAATTAGCGCAGGCGTCATAAGCGGACCTAGCTAAACCGGCACTCTGTCAAAACCGGCATTTTTATTTGGTCCCGACTGATGCCGGTATTGACAGAGAGTACACTGTACATATACTCAGCAGCAAAACACGTCAGTACGAATTCAAAATTAGATAGGCACTGTAATCAAATCATTACAGAAATGGACATAATGAGCGGATCAAAAACATTTTTGTGTACAATATCCTGACACATCCATGAAGAACTCAGTTCCGAGACATTACGTGAACGTTTGCAGTCCATTCAGACTCTTGACTTCAGTATATATTGTGTCCACCACGAGAGGCAATAACTGCAGCACATCGTCTATCATTTGTGGGAATCATTTGTGGTGTTGTTGGCCCGGACACATTGCTACAGCCTGTAGATGGTCCGAACGTGAACAGCACGTGTAGCATGAGTTGCATGAAAAACACGGAGAACACCGTACCATCTCCGAGATCAGGTTGCGTTTTTGAGACCATTTCCTGGGTTCCATTTGTTTGGGAAGGAATGGCTTTGCTCAGGTAAAGTTGGAGATGTTGCCAAAAATATACAATCAAAACATTAAATGAGTTTACAGTTATCCGTTTCTGCGAAAGAAAATTCCAACCTGACGTTTCTTTTGCTGCTTAGTATAGATGAATTACATACATAAGAAATAGACTCCAGAATATTCTCCAACTCCTGTAGTACCTGTAGTACCTTCCAGATATCTGGCTAAACACAGAACAAGTCTAAATATAGCACACAGCTGTCCCCTATACACTTGGAACATTGTTACATAATGTATAACATAACAACATGTGCTTTAAGACATAAATATTACATTTCTCTCAATAACACTAACCATCAGCCCTCGGGTAAGCTACCATATAATATATACTGTACATCATTGAAATCGCACCACTTACAAAAGTTCAGATTATTAAAAGCATGGGTAAGGAATTTATATTTTATGAGTGGATAATAACAGATGGACGACTGACAAAAACAACAACACAGAAAAGACGCTCATTCATTGAAATGTTCCACAGTCAGAAAGGATCAAACACACGTGGGGTCAAATCGAAAAGTCAATATCGCGTGTGACAGCCGTTTGCATTGACACATGCAGTTCAACGTCTCCTCATTGAGTCAATAAGCGTCCGAATAGAGTTCTTGAGGATGGCATTCCACGTCTCCAGTAGTGCAGCCTCAAGTTCCCGGATGTTTCGCATCTGTTGTCGCCGCGAAAGACTTTGACCAATTTCGTCCCACAAGTGCTCCATGGGGATACATCTGGCGACTGTGCTGGCCAATGAATAACTTGGATGTGTTGCTGGGCCAGATACTGCATGATAAGTCTTGTTGTGTGTGCCCGTGCGTTGTCCTGTTGAAAATATGGACATCTTGGTGGTGATTGAAGACAGATACGATGTGATTCTGAAGAATCTGCTCACGGTAATAAAGGGCATTAACTCTCCCTTGACAGACATGAAGGCAGTCCTGTGATTGTAATATATTATATTCCACCCCAGACCATGACACTCCCACCACCCAAAGGTCTGTCTGAACCACACACTCATCAGCATAACGTTCACCACGTCTACGCCAAACACGTAATCGGCCGTCAGCATTACGTAGATGAAGACGTGACTCGTCAGTGACTACCACACCATGCCATTGTTGTAACCTTTACTGAAAATGCCTGCTAGCCCATTGTATACGCTCATTACGGTGTTTGTCAGTCAGAATTGGTCCAACGTAAGGACGTCGAGCATGGAGCCCTGTAGCGTGTAGACGGCGTCGCATTGAGTCAGCGCTGATGACCCCCACATCAACCTTGAACTAGTGCAGCAGTCCTGGCAGTCGGCAGTGTTCAATCACTGATATGGACAAGGTCAATATGGCGATTCTGATGGAGCGTCGTAACACGTTGTTGACAAGGTCATAGAAGGTCACGGGTGCTGCCTGTCTACTGATATCGTCTATGAAGCCTAACGATGGTGGAGTGGTCAAGTCCAAGTTGTCGAGCAATATCCCTGCTGCTGGTACCAACCTAAATCATGCCTAGTGCACGTTCTCTTTCGTGAGGTGTTAACCTCGGCATCTGTGTCCTCGTTTCACAATCGTTAGTGAAGCAATGAGAATCTGTTCTCATACACCTGTTTTTAATGTCACAGTCAGTATGATTTCAGAATGAAATTAGCGCTTTTTCATGGCGTGGCTGCATGTTGATGCATTTTGGAATTAAGAGTCATACTGTGGACAGGAATTTTTTTCTAAAGCAATTTTTCCACTGGACATGCCCTTCGACTTCATGTTAGTTAGATTCATTGATCATTGTCATGCTGAAATCCATCTTGATGGAAATATGGACAATTTTAGACTGGTGCGTTTTCAATGATGTTCAGTATACTTTAAAAATTACGTATTTAGATTACAATATTAAGTTTAAAAGTTCGAATGAATGAATGAAACGTTGCATTAAATCAACTCTCGCGTCCTCTACCGGCCGAACATCACTTCAAGCGAACCCCATAGAGTTATGTCCCTTGGAGCGCTCTTTACGATTATCCTATCACTCAACTTGTGACATTCGTCACCACTCGCCCCTTTCCGTAAACTGCTATTCGACTTGTCCCGGAATAACACGAGTTGGTCACGAATGAACTTGTGATTGAAACCAGTTCGGCAAACACCTACAACACCGCGTGCGACAGTTTTCGATGTACTGAGCAATTGTTTACATTCCATATATGGCAAGTGTTCTCTGTTGGGAAGCTGTTCGCCTCGAAGTTTAAGTTATCGATTGCAGGCAAGTCGTAAGGAATAATAAGTCTTTTATTGCACCAGTAGGAAGCTTAGGTCAATGCACATACCCCAATATAATAATATAGGCCAAAATATTGTCGAAAATGTGTGACATTGTGCCTTTCATGTGACGACATATTGTGAAGCGATCATGTGACGATGCTTTGTGAAGCGATCATGTGACGATGCATCGTGGCGTGATCATGTGACGATATCGTGACGTGATCATGTGACGAAATAGTTATCCTGCAATCAGGTACGGACATTGCGACCTCAAATCGGGTCGACTTGTATTGAAATGACACGGTCATTAGAAAAGACAAAAAAAAAAAAAAAAAACCTCCCCAAAAAAGTGGAAGATCAACGTCTTGGGACAAAGTGAAAACTCCTTCCATTCCGAGGTATCTTGAGTCTATTTCAGGCAAGTCGTAAGGAATAATAAGTCTTTTATTGCATCAATAGGAAGCTAAAGTGAGTGCATATGCCACAATGTATATAATATAGGGCAAAATATCGAAAATGTGTGAACCTGTGCCTATAAATTATGTCCGTATTGCCCCAGTAGACTTGCATGGTATAGGTTTGTTGCCTGGTGACATGGCCTGGTGGGTTTTAATGCTGCACTCACCGCGATATTTCAGTGACATACCGGCGTGTATATCATTGAGTAAATAATCGAGACTGGACCAGGAATCCAGAGATTGACATCATGAACATCGATCAGTACCCATCGATCTATCCCAGTCTGTCAGCTTGTGTGACGAAAGCCGAAACTAATGGAGCTAATTATCCTCTCAGCTCTTTGATACAATAAACTGCAAGAAACCATAGATAGAGCAAGCTGTGGCAGTGATTCCTGTATTGACTTCACAAACCAGTGGAGACAGCGGGTACAACAAGCTCTTATCTCACTATTGATGTATATCACACACTGCTCAGCGTATATGCTGTCGTTTCCAACACATTTATAAGCGTGGGTCTCCAATGTCACTTACGCAATACATCTTTACATGTGTACGTGGACTTCAATAGATTGGTGTCAGAGAAATCAATACCCTGGGAACAGGCCACTCCATACCTGATGGAGACGTTCGATAATGTTCGAGTCCGTTTCATGCGTTTGATTGGGGGACAGGATATTTGTTCAGCTGCTTGCGACAAAACCAGATATTTGAAAAAGTAAAGCTAGGTCATATTTGTTACAATATATTTCCTAACCACGTGGTATTGGCCTGGCGATAGGCCGTTCTATAGAGACATCGTTTTGTTATGTACTTCGACTCGTGTCTACATGTAGAGTTTTATAAATATTCATCAAAACGTGTGACTGTTTCTCACCGTGCTAGTCAGCTACACACACGAACGGGAGGTGGGACACCTAAGTAAGCCGCCACTACAATTGAATATCCACATTCAAAGTCACAAAGCATTATAAAAGGTTTCCTTAGGTCTGGAATGACGTAATTCTGATCAAACAACCTTTCAGCGGCGTAAAATATATTCGCCAACTCACTCACTCTTTGAACAAAGGTGCGGTGGGGCAGCAAAGTGGTTAAAGCGTTCCCTCTACCCGGGTTCTTTCGATTCCCCACATGGGTTCAATGTGTGAAGCCCATTTCTGGTGGTATTGCTGGAAAAGTGCTAAATGCGGCGTAAAAATAAACTCACTCACTTTGAACAAAATCCTCATAATTAGACATGTTGCTCATTGACATCGCATCGAACAATTCAAGATCTACTCCAAGGGGATCATCATGCTATTGCAATAATATGGAAACATGGGTAGGGACGTCTCAATGGCATCGTGAGGGTATTTACTGCAGCACGTTTTCCCGCATGGAAGCGTCTATAACAGTTGCTCCTTTAAATGTTACACATCTCGTTGTATCACTGTGTGTCAAGCACAATAAAGCCACGTCTCGTTGTATCACAGTGTGTCAAGCACAATAAAGCCACGACGATGTCTTGTAACTAGTTGCTGAATGGTTTGTTTCAGGAGGAGTTTGACAACCTGGTGAAAACTGTTGACAAGCTGGTGGTTGTGGAGTTCGGCGCCCCCTGGTGTGGGCCGTGCAGAATGATCCTGCCTTTCTTCCAAGTACGTTAAGCTGGGAGGTGCTGGATTCGGTGTGTGTGGGTTGGGCTGAATGTAGTTGTGAACAGTATCCTGGTTACATCACAGCGTATCAGTGTAATGTAGAATCCTGAAGTGATGCAGATTTAGGACGTTACCACTTTGATAGCCTGATATGTATAATTGCATCTGTTACATCACAGCGTGTCAGTGTAATGTGTAATCCTGAAGTGATGCAGAGTTAAGACGTTACCACTTTGATAGCCTGATATGTATAATTGCAGCTGTTACATCACTGCGTATCAGTGTAATGTGGAATCCTGAAGTGATGCAGAGTTAGGACGTTTGCCACTTTGATAGCCTGATATGTATAATTGCAGCTGTAAAATAAGTAGGTCTGATATGTATAATTGCAGCTGTTACATCACTGCGTATCAGTGTAATGTGGAATCCTGAAGTGATGCAGATTTAAGACGTTACCACTTTGATAGCCTGATATGTATAACTGAAGCTGTAAAATATGCAGGCCTGATATGTATAATTGGAGCTGTAAAATAAGTAGGTCTGATATATATAATTGGAGCTGTAAAATAAGTAGGCATGGTATGTATATGCGATGTAATATACGTATGTCTGATATGTATATTTGCTGTAAAATAAGTAGGCATGGTATGTATATTCGCTGTAAATAAGTAGGCCTGATATGTATATGTTTTGTAATATAAGTAAGCCTGATATTTGTATGTTGTGTAAAGTAGGTAGTCCTGATATTTATATGTTGTGTAAAATAGGTAGGCCTGATATTTATGTGCGATTGAAGAAAAGCGTTGCCATTGTTTGTGGAAATCTGAGGTGTTTTTGTCGAGGCGACCTTTCCCTGGTTAGTGAGTTGGCCGTTTTCCAAGATGAAAAGAAAAGCTTGACAAAGAAGGATAGGTTAAACTGGTTGCAAGGGACAGGCTTGACCAGAACGTGTTTTACACGCCGTTCCTCCTGGAACGCAATATAACGTGTTTATAAGGTGATTGTATCTCATGTCCGTAACGGGAAAGTAAAGGTGTAACTCAGAGTTGCCTTTCCACCGTGTCCTGTTTTTGTCTGTTCTATAGTAAATGTGACCACCTGTCAATGTATGGTGTGGGTTTGTCATTTTCTGTTCTCGTCCACAGCGTCTCGAGGAGGAATTAGGGGATAAAGTCATATTCGCCAAAGTCGACGTCGATGAAGCAGGGGTACGTCACCGAGGGTGTGAATTTCACGTTAAATCTCTTTCCATGAGACAGCTGAAGGTTGTAACTGTCTGGTTAAAGGTTTACAAGCCCTGCTTAATTCCATATCGAGGCTTACTTTCTTACTGTCATTATTGTCATGGTTATATTCTGTACTGGTCCAAACTGATCGTTACGACAACACTTGCTTCATTCAAGTCGATGTTTCTCCACACCTAACCTTGTCACATCCGTCATTTAACGTCACCATGAAATGCGACACCATTCGGACACGTGATTCCACTATATGACGAACGTGTGTTTATGAATCACTCTTTCAGTAAACGCATTTCGGTAAACATATATTTCGAGTATTCATAAATGTTTGGACACTCGCTATAGGTGTACGTGCGCACGCAAGCACGCACGCACGCACGCACAGACACATGTATATACACACAAACACACACGCAGTGACACAGTTATATGTTGATGCCACACATGCATACACTCTTACGCACATACACACATGCACGCATTCGTGCTCTAACACATCGCTATATATAGATGTCACACACACTGAGACGCACAAACATGCTCACACACGCGCACACGCACGCGTACGGCTACATGTTGACGTTGGTGTTGCAGGACCTGGCGGAGGAGTGTGACATCAGCTGCATGCCCACCTTCATTTTGTACAAGGGGGGCGACAAGGTGAGCTTCTCTTTGGGATTTGGTGAGTGAGTGAATTTAATTTTACGCCGTTTCTTTGAGTTCCCTGCAAGTGTAGTTTACTGTAGTCCAATATTATTATAATATAAGTATGTTACGACATCTAACATGCAGCCGTTCAGCATTATTACGACATAACACCAAATCACGATACCCGTGAAGATCCGGGTTAGAAATGATCTTCAGTAACCCATACTTGTCCTCAAAGGCAACTAACGGGATAGGGTGGTCAGGCTCACTGACTTTGATTACACATACCATCGTATCCTAATTGTGTAGATCGATGCTCATGCTGTTGATCACTGGATTGTCTGGTTCAGACTCGATTTTTTAGACCACCACCATATAGCTGGAATATTGCTGAGTGCGGCGTAAAACTAAACTCACTCACTCTCTCCTCCTCATATAGTCTGGCCTCTGAATGCATTTGCTTTGCATCACCTTTATAATGTGTTTGGCGTGATTCCATTTGTTTTTATTTCTGTAATGGTGGCCTTGATAATGTTGCTCAATTTGGCATGAAACCAAACCCACTCCTAATTTAAATTCATTTTAAAATAAAATTGAATTTGATTCAAATTGTAAATATTTTTTCCTTTAGGTCGAAACGTTGCAGGGGGCTAACAAAGATCAACTTGAAGAAACCATCAAGAAACTTTGCTAGTTTCTCTGAGTAAACAATTTCAACATGTGGACATTGAGACAAATGTAACAGTTACCCACATCCATGCTCAATACTTATAATCTGTAATGCTTATCACGTTTCCACGAACACTCGAGTTTCATACATTACGTCTGTTTGTTTTATTACGTTGGGACGGGTTAAATGCATCCATGCATGCATTACCCTAACCAATACATGTAACATTTATTTTAATGTATACCACCACCACCCAATATCCCCACCACTTATCTTAAAAAGAATAAATAGAGAAAGGACTAGTAAAATTATAATGTTCATCGTATACTTTTAATGATCTTATTTTAAAAGAAATCTGTGTTATTTTCTCATCCCCCATCCAGTAACTGTAGATTTAGAAGTGACATTTTTCAGCTCACCCCACACACTCACCATTCTGAGAATAAAGTTGATCTAAAGAAACACCTGTTTGTATTTTTCTACAGCTATACACTTACATCTCGATGTCCTACACCTGAACACTGACATCTCGATGTCCTACAGCTGTACACTGACGTCTCGATTTCCTACAGATTCAATTCTTTATTACAGAAGTGTAGGCCATCGGCCCATAACTACATAGGTTTGGGTTCATGGCAAAACAATCTGTGTACAGTATAGATTGATAATTTTTAACATCTTAGATACATTGCATGGTAGATAAAGCTAGCTAAGTTATTTATAAGTTTACAATCTGTGATGGCATGAGGAGTTTGAATTTGGCTTTACTTGGATTGATACAATATGTTTTAGGTAAATGGTTCAAGCGGAGCTGTTGGAATTTGGAACACACGAGGAGAAGATGGTATTCATCCTCAATAAAACCTTCATCGCACTGTAAACATAATCTATCATTTCTATCTATATTATAATACCTTCCAGTTTCTATACGTAACTGATGTGAAAAACATCTAAACTGAGCGAGTGCTACTTTTTAATGTTAATCACATTTAAGTACAATTCCCTGGACAATGAAATTTTGAAGTAAGAATAAAGTATAGATTTGCTGCCATTTTGAAGTGAACTATACCAATTCTGTTCATGAATACATTTAAATCAACTCACAAATTCAGATAAAAACGACGTAGGAGAAATAACAGATTGCTGTTCCTAAACAAAACCAAAACCCAAACTGTACAGCAGATCTCGACACTTCAACGCCCAATTAACTTTATTATGATCTAAAGCCATTAACATCATATGATAACATTTTTTGGGATGACGAGAATCAGACATACTCAATACTTTTAACCAATACTTTATTACCCTTTTATATGCTAGGATATATAGGGGATACCGCCCACATTCACCACGAGCTATATTATTAGTTGTAGAGATCTTAACGCCTAAAAACCGTTTGCAAGCCAATGTGTGCACAGATTCAACATAATCGTTCTGACAGAATCCCGAGACCTCGGCACCATACAGCAGAATAGGAGCTATTATAATATAAAATATCTTAAAGTATAATTCATGAGATATATTACCAAGCTTACTTATATTTTTAAGAACACCAAATAAAGCCTTTTTACCTTGCAAAGCTGCATTAGAACAATGACTAGACTAAGACAAGCCCCTTGTGAATGTTATACCTAGATACTTATATGAAGTTACCGCTTCCAACTTCCTTCCATTATAAAACCAACTTTCTTTTTTTGATAAAATACCACCTTTCTGAAAAACGACAACTTTTGTCTTATCCAAATTGACCTCAAGACCGTATTCTATACAAAGCTTTTCTAAAACATCGATGCGCTTCTGTATCCCTCCAATAGTATCAGATATAAGTGCGATGTCATCCGCAAAAAGAAGAATAAATAGTTGAATAACATCAGGATGTAATTGAATACCTGGACCTGAACTTCGTTCTACCTCAACAGCCAACTCGTTGATAAAAATCGAAAACAACAGAGGGCTAAGGACACAGCCCTGACGAACACCACGTCAACAAGGGAAAAATCCTGACAACACATTATTAAATTTTACGCTAGCCTTAACGGATGAATAGATGGACTGTATAGAGTTAACCATTTGGGGGGAAACACCTCTAGATTTCAAAACTGACCATAATTTCAAACGACTTACACTGTCGAATGCCTTAGCAAAATCCACGAACACACAATAAAGTTAACCTTTTGCTTACTTTACAGACAGACAGATTTTTTTCAGTTTTAGACCTTCGGGCCAAAATACAGAATATTCAGGGTTACAAAAATATCCCTGCGTATAATCCATATTTACATACATACAATAGCATAAAATAATATAAATGCAGGATATAAACATAAACTCTGTCAAAAAAGAAACGCAACCCCTGTATTTTAGAGATTTTGATCTGAAGTTTTAGGACGACACGGCATTTTTATTATTTAAGACAGAAGTCTGAAATTTGGCAGAATAATAACCCAGATGGGCATGTTTAAAATTGTCATTTCAAAAGTCATCTCACAGACACCAGTTTGTCACCAGGGGGGGCGTCTTTCTCAGTATCTCGTATGAGCACCACGCGCTGCAATCACTGCACGGCATCTCCTTGGACAAGAACGGATAAGACGCCGGATTCTTTCCTGGGGAATGGCTCTCCACTCCTCCTGCAGTGCAACGGCGAGCTGTTGCAGCGTCTGTGGCGGCGGCTGACGTTGACGTACGCGTCGATCCAGAGTATCCCACAGGTGTTCAATAGGGTTGAGGTCTGGTGATTTACAGGGTCATGGCAACACATTGACGTTGGAATTCTGCAGAAAGTTCATTGTTGCACGTGCAGTATGAGGCCGGGCGTTGTCCCGTTGAAAAATCTGTGTCTGTTGGTCAATAATCGGGAGAAGGTGAAGCTCTAACACGTGGTTGATGTAACGTTGGGCTGTCAGGTTCCCTGGAACGATCACCAAGTCTGATTTCTGGTTGTATGAGATGGTTCCCCAAACCATGACGCTTTCTCCGCCAAATCTGTCCACCTGTCGGACGCAGATGGGCGCAAAACGTTTATGACGTCTCCTATACAGACGCTGTCTTCCGTCGTGACGTTGCAAAAGAAAACGTGATTCATCAGAAAACCAGATTCGCCTCCAGTTTTGTAAAGTCCGTATCCTTACGTTGTTGCACCACCTGAGTCGTCGGCGTCGATGTAGGGGCGTAGTACAGGTCCAACAACTGGTCTACAGGCACGTAAACCCGCTTCTTTCAGACGGTTCCTAATCGTTTGAGCTGACACTCTCCTCAAACCTGGTATTTGTGTGGCAGTCACGGTTGGTAGGGCATGCCGATTACGCAGGTGATGGACCCGGATGTACCGATCTTGAAGGGGGGTCGTGATTCTTGGCCTTCCACTTCTCGGGCGATCGTTGGTCAAATTGAAGTTGTTGTAGCGGCTCCAAAGTCGGGATATCGTTGGTTTGTGAACATTTAGGTGCCGTGCAACAGTTCCAAAACTTTCTCCGGCTTGAACACGACCAATGGCGATATTTCGGTCGGCAGCACTCAATCGTGGCATTTTTTAACCCAGCTTTTCGGCGACAAATGAATGAATATACTACGGAAGCACATGGGCTTTTATACACCCCTACATTAACTGCCATTTTCATGATTTGCATGTGTTTTTTTTGTGCGAAGTCACCATGAGGGTCATTTCATGCGTTGTGACGGAATAAGCAATAAAATACACTTATGCGTACAAATGCAGTTGTTTGGATGGTAATCTTCATTAATTACGTGTATCATTTCAATACATTCGAATACAATTTAGTTTGGAAGCAATAACTTCATTCAAACGAATTTTTCATATCTGAGGACAGGGGTTGCGTTTCTTTTTTGACAGAGTTTATTATATATTACTTTGCCCCATGTTTTGAGCTATCAATAAGAAGGATGAAGTTTATGCAAAATATCACAATTATGAGAAATAAAGTTATGTTGAGAGTTAGAATTGATATATTTAATAATAAGTGTATTACGGAAAAAAAACTATAAGCTGCACAGATTAAAATTACATGATATTCATTTTCAAATACTTATTTTTGGATAAACAGAGAGAACAACGTGGTTTTGTGTCTTCCGGTGTTGACAGTTATGCTAAAGTTACTGCATCTGAAGCGGGATAAAATCCTTATTAAGTCAAATGGAAGTGATGAGTTCGAATATATACAAGTACCGTGTATCTATAAACTAATCAATCAATAAAAGAGTCAATTTGAGTCCGGTTGTTACACTTTCATACTTCAAACTATACATGAGCATCAAAGCTGTGTTCATCACTAACAGCCAGCATCTGTGAATGTTAAGATCACCATAGCCCTGTCAGATCCCGTATCATGGACGTGTGTAGTAAATGCCTTTAATTGGGAACCCGTGAGTGAGTGAGTTAATATTCAATGTCACATCGGCAATATCTCAGCCATATCGTGACGAAAACAATTTCTACAATAAAAAGTGAAAATATTTTGAGGATTAAAACCTGTCGACGATGGACAGTAAAAATACTAGATAATCACAGATATAACATAAAACTAGCGAACAAAGCTAAAACGTTTCAACTAAAGAGGACAATACAGTATAAAACACGGACTATAGATCGCCAACAACTGAGTGAAGATTGGAATTAGAATTGGTCTTCAACAATCCATGCTTGTCGTAAGAGGCGACAAACGGAATCCGGTGGTCAGACTTGCTGACTAGGTTGACACATGTATCCCAAGCCAATTGAAGAGATCGATGCTCATGCCGTTGATCACTGGATTTACAGACCGCTGCTATATAGCTAGAATATTGCGGCGTAGACACTATACAAACAAAACAAACTTTGATTGTGAATGACAACAATGACGAGTCTTTGAATGATATATTTAGATCTGATACACATAACATGGGACATTATGGATGTTACCTTCTATACTACAGGGAACACAAACATCTGGAGTATATATACTCCTCCTTCATTCTTCTCCTTCATGAGGTGTACTTATACCCCCCGCTGGTATTAAAGATACTTCCTGATTTTCATGAGCGCCTAGTGAAGACATAGTCGTGAACCAGGGTATATCAGCATGAAGAAGGCCTAAGAAGATACTTGCTGTGCTCCTTGTTATAAAGAAGTTGAATTTTCTTAAAGAAAGAAGTCTGAAAGTTTCAATTTGTTTAGAGAAAGATTTAATAACTAAAACATTTGAAGATACGAGAAAATGATTGAAATAAGGAAAAAAATAATCGAAGTAGCTTGAAAAATTACATTATTCTAATAAACTTGCACTAACAGGGAAAATCGATATTGCGACTGTGTAAATAAATAAATATGGAATTCAGGGACAAAAAATAATCTTAATTTACTACCAACGTGGCATTGTATTGAATTTCATGCTGATGTGATCACATGTAACGTCCACGGGGGTAGTCTAGTGGTTAAAGTGTTCGCTCGTCACGCCGGGTTCGATTCCCCACATGGGTACAATGTGCGAAGCCCATTTCTGGTGTCCCTCGCCGTGATATTGCAGGTATATTTCTTAAAGCGGCGTAAAACTAAATTCACTCACTCACTCCACATGCCACCAATAATAAATCGAGGCATGTTATAATGATGGTAATCATTACGGCATGTTACAATGATACATATGATGCAATTACCACAACGTGTTTTATGCCTTAACAGTTTAAGGGAATCACCATCAGCACCAACACCAACACTAATACCACCACCACCACCAATACCACCAGCACCACCACCACCACCACCAGCACCACCACCACCAATACCACCAATACCACCACCACCAACCACCACCACCAGCACCACCACCAGCACCACCACCAGACCACCAGCACCACCACCACCAATACCACCACCACCACCACCACCACCACCACCACCACCACCACCAGCACCACCACCAGCACCACCACCACCAGCACCACCCCACCACCACCACCACCACCACCACCACCAGCACCACCAATACCACCAGCACCCACCACCACCACCCACCACCACCACCACCAGCACCACCACCAGGACCACAGCACCACCACCACCACCACCACCACCACACCACCACCCACCACCACCACCACCAAGCACCACCACCACCACCACCACCACCAGCACCACCAATACCACCAGGACCACCACCACCACCAGGACCACACCACCGACCAGGACCACCACCACCACCACCACCAGCACCACCAGCAGCAACACCAGCACCACCACCACCAGCACCACCACCAGCACCACCAGCCACCACCACCACCAGCACCACCAGGACCACCAGCACCACCACCACCACCACCACCACCACCACCACCACCAGCACCACCAGCACCACCACCACCACCACCACCAGACCACCACCACCACCAGCACCACCACCACCACCAGGACCACCACCATACCACCACCACCACCACCACAGCACCACCACCAGGGACCACCACCACCACCAGCACCACCACCACCACCACCAGCACCACCACCACCACCACCACCACCAGCACCACCACCACCACCACCACCACCACCACCACCACCACCACCACCACCACCACCACCACCACCAGGACCACCACCACCACCACCAGCACCACCACCCAATACCACCAGCACCACCACCACCACACCACCCACCAGGACCACCACCACCACACCACCAATACCACCACCACCACCACCACCACCACCAAGCACCACCACCAGCCACCACCAGCACCACCACCACCACCACCACCACCACACCACCACCACCACCAGGCACCACCACCACCAGGACCACCAATACAACAAGGACCACTACCGTCAGGACCACCACCACCACCAGCACAACCAATAACACCACCGCCACCACCACCACCACCAGGACCACCACCACCACCACCACCACCAATACCACCACCACCACCAGGGACCACCACCACCACCACCACCACCACACCACCACCAATATCACCAGCACCACCACCACCAGGACCACCAATACAACAGGGCCACTACCGTCAGGACCACCACCACCACCACCACCACCACCACCACCAATACCACCACCACCACCACCAGGACCACCAGCACCACCACCACCACCACCACCACCACCACCACCAGCACCACCACCACCAGGACCACCAATACAACAAGGACCACTACCGTCAGGACCACCACCACCACCAGCACAACCAATAACACCACCGCCACCACCACCACCACCAGGACCACCACCACCACCACCACCACCAATACCACCACCACCACCACCAGGACCACCACCACCACCACCACCACCAATACTACCAGGACCACCACCACCAGCACCAGCACCACCAATACCACAACCAATACCACCAGGACCACCACCACCACCACAAATACCACCAATACCACCACCACCAATACCACCAGGACCACCACCACCACCACCAATACCACCAATACCACCACCACAAATACCTTCAGGACCACCACCAGCACCACAAATACCACCAGGACCATCACCACCAATACCACCAGGACCACAAGCACCACCACCACCACCACCACCACCACCAATACCAGGACCACCAATACCACCAGGACCACCACCACCACCACCAATACCACCAATACCACCACCACAAATACCTTCAGGACCACCACCAGCACCACCAAATACCACCAGGACCATCACCACCAATACCACCAGGACCACCAGCACCAGGACCACCTCCACCACCACCACCACCATATGTACCTCATTATGCTCGCAACTGTTGTGTTCCACGTCTTTATATTTTCTCGGTTCCTTTCTCTGTTTCCCTTTGGACCATATCTCATGTAAAGGTGAACCACAAAGTTATTTTCCTGCCAGTTCCATTTCCTGCCGCCAAAGAGGAAGGCTAGCTCTTTCCAGTTTGGTCGGCAGAGTGATGCCGGTTCTATGTGAATCAAGTTTGGGTATTTCTTTGACAGCTGATACGGTTTGATCACGGAATGTTTTGTATTCGTGGTGCCATATTTTTTGGAAATCAGACCATGGTTTAGAAAACATAATTCCATAGGCTAAAACCCATGGTACCGCGTGACCCATTGTGACGTCATGGACTAAAAGAGGGTCAATTGGGTTGACGACTATAGAATCGGTGTCGAAATACATCCCTCCATACTCCAACAGTGCTTCGAGTCTCACAATATCAGCGACGTGCTCTATAACCTTGACGTCATTGCCTCTGATCTTGGTGGGTCTGTCTCTGTGGACGAGGTACAGATTCTTCACCTTCTGTTTCGTCTCCTCCCAATATTCACCAACTGGGAGGTTGTCATGCCAGAAGTAAATCTTCTCTGGCTTCGCGATACGGGACGCGGCAAGGACTGCTATCATATAATGAAATCGGAATGTAACATTCCCATTTGAGAAAAGACAGAAATGGACTATTCTCGGTACCACCGGCACAGCGTGGCTTATTGAGGCGTTAACATCGAAAGGCTTTTCCACATTTCACCAACATTTCACCAACCCTGTAGCAGAAGGAAGTGAGCCTGGTTCACTTCCTTCTGCTACAGGGTTGGTGGCGTAGCCAAGTGGTTAAAGCGTTCGTTCGTCACGCCGAATACACGGGTTCGATTCCCAACATTGGTATAATGTGTGAAGCCCATTTCTGGTGTCACCCGCCGTGATATTGCTGGAATATTGCTAAAAGCGGCGTAAAACCATACTCACTCACTCCTTCTGATATAAATGGGTAAACATGCCATGTGTCTCTGTGTCATGGACACATATTTCCTCCTAGATTTCTTACAGGAAATATACCAGAGCTATTAAACTATTAGACTATTGGAATGGACTCCGAAATGATTACTCTGACTCTATGAAAACAATAAATGGCAATGTATGTACATTTCGTCAACTAGAGCCAGAGAGTAATGTACATATCTATGTCGATTGTATACATGTAGACAAGTTTTGGAGACAAATATTGAATATGGTTTCATTAATCATATCCTTTAGGGTACAAAGGATAATATGTATACTGCAAATATATAAGGAAACTGCCTTCATCTAACTTCAGTTTCACATTTATAAGTTTTAAGGACATAACAGAAGTAGAATATGTAGCTGCCTCAAAAAATAACAGTATGGTTAACTTTGACAAAATGCTGCCTCATCTGCTGGTAAGAGAGCTGGCAAAGCGTTAATTGTCCTCCACCTTGTTCCTGTTGTATCACGTTATAATGTGAAGCTGTCTTTTTTGACAAATGCCCACTGAAGTGAATACACATATTTACCTAGGCCCAAGTGTTATCTGAACCTAGGCCAAAGTCATCCAATCGTTATCTGAACCTAGGCCCAATTCAACCTATCGTTATCTGAACCTAGGCCAAAGTCATCCAATCGTTATCTGAACCTAGGCCCAATTCAACCTATCGTTATCTGAACCTAGGCCCAATTCAACCTATCGTTATCTGAACCTAGACCCAAGTCACCCTATCGTTATGTGATCCAAGGCCCAAGTCATGCTATCGTCATCTGAACCTTGGCCCAAGTCACCCTATCGTTATCTGAACCTAGGCCCAATTCAACCTATTGTTATCTGAACCTAGTCCCAATCATACTATTGTTATGTGAACCAGGCCCAAGTCATACTATCATAATCTGAACCTAGAACCAAGTCACCCTATCGTTATGTGATCCAAGGCCCAAGCCATACTATCGTCATTTGAACCTTGGCCCAAGTCACCCTATCGTTATCTGAACCTAGGCCCAAGTCATACTATTGTTATGTGATCCAAGGCCCAAGTCATACTATCGTCATCTGAGCCTTGGCCCAAGTCACCCTATCGTTATCTGAACCTAGGCCCAAGTCATTATATCGTCAACTGAACTTAGTCCCAATCATACTATTGTTATGTGAACCAGGCCCAAGTCATACTATCGTCATCTGAACCTTGGTCCAAGTCACCCTATCGTTATGTGATCCAAGGCCCAAGTCATACTATCGTCATCTGAACCTTGGCCCAAGTCACACTATTGTCATCTCAACCTAGGCCCAAGTCATACTATTGTTATGTGAACCAGGCCCAAGTCATACTATTGTTATGTGAACCAGGCCCAAGTCACCCTATCTTTATGTGAACCCAGATCCAATTCACTCAAGACTAAACTAATCGGGGATTTAGCAGGAGTATCAAACTGCAGTAAAGGTGTACATTGAACCGATACATCGCTATGTACATTGTCAAAGTAGACGTTGAGTCATCGTACCACGATGCTCCTACCTATATTTAATTTAACTTGTAATACACCAGGGCCCCGCTCACAAAGCATTCGTAACGCTACGACTGTCGCATGTCTATGCTACAGTATAGGTGGTACGACAGTCGTAGCGCTACGATAGCTTTGTGAGCGGGGTCCAGATATCTCGAATTATGAATATAGTTATCGAGTTATTGAGCTTTACATTCACGGCATAAAGCTAAAACGCCAGCTGGCGCCTTGTAGTGTTAACTGAAGTACAATTTGTATGTATGGGCGTGGATAAACAAGACCTGTATAGGTAAGCACGGAACTTTAAGTGAAGTTGTTTTCGTATACAATGTACAATCTCTACTATCTTTTGTGTGAAACCTGTGAGAACACGCTAGACACAGAATGAGGACAGATGAAATAGTGACAACAGCAGAGAAGTTGTAAGAAACTGACGTGTCAGGTGTCTTGATTGTCCGTGAGCCAGGTCTCAGGTCGACATCTTACACATGGTGCTGACGTGTGGTCGCTGATGATAGGTGTCTCTCTACATGACTTTGGGCGGTGGGGTAATCTAGTCGTTAAAGCGTCCACTCGTCATGCCGAAGACCCGGGTTCGATTGCCCACAAGGGTACAATGTGTGAAGTCCATTTCTGGTGTCCGCCGCCGTGGTATTGCTGGAATATTGCTAAAAGCGGCGTGAAAATGTTTAATTTTATCTGTCTTTGAGTCCGTCCATTCGTCCGTCCGTCCTTCCATCTGTTGTTTGTAGCTTTCTTATCGATTTACCACCAGCCATTTCAGTGACTGATACCATGAACTTCGATCTTCCTTGATCGGATTCGATGACACGACCACCATATCAAAGAGGACGCTGACCGCTCGATTCCGTTCTTAGCCTCGAAGACAGATTTCAAATAAACGTTCCTAACTCTTTATCTACCGATATCTATCGGGACTTTTTTCCCTGTCTCCTATTTCCTATTACGCCGTGTTGGGAACATATGACGCGGCTAACTACCGAACTATTCAAACAAATCAATATTTAACGTAAACACAGATCAATTGTTCGATATAGCGCGAACACCCGCCACATGGTTAAAATGTGTGAAGCCCATTTCGGGTGTCCCCGCCGTGATATTGCTGGAATATTGCTAAAAGCATCGTAAAACCCAACTCATTCACTCCTTATGACGTGTGTAAGAAGTACTCTTCTGCATTGTTCTGTATAGCTTATCGATGACAGCTACCATAGTTGTACTGTTTACATTAAATTCTTTATTACAGATCATGTCGTCATTGGCGATTTTGTATAAAAATTACATGATGTGAAGCGAAATGCGTTAAAGATTGTTTCAGAAATATTTATATAACATGTGACTGTTTATGATATACTGACAGAAAAAGTAACTGTGTTTTATAAGTGATGCTTAGTTAATGGTGCACCCATGCATTGTAGAAAGAGTAGAACATGATCACGAGTGAGTGAGTGAGTTTAGCTTTACGCCGCTTTTAGCAATATTCCAGCAATATCACGGCGGGGGACACTAGAAATGGGCTTCACACGTTGTACCCATGTGGGGAATGGAACCCGGGTCTTCAGCGTGACGAGTGAACGCCTTAACCACCAGGCTAAAACAAAGAGACAAAATATAAAAGAGCTATTATTATTGACAGGATTTGAAATGTTTTTGATAATGTCTCTAAACAGTTTGTTTTACAAAATTGAGAAAATTCGGTTTCGGGCCTCAGGTGTGACAATGGAATATTATTTTGCGTTATTCACAACGGCCATTTATCAGAATTCCTTCATAATGCAAATATCTCTAGACAGCGGACACAATTGCGCCAAATATAGTTTTGTTTGTAGCCAAACGTTTAGGAATTATTTGAATAAACAATCCTTATATAAGAGGAATTGTCTAAAATAAAGGAGAACACGCGTTAGGACACTATGCTAATGATGCACAATTGTTTTAGACGGACTAGCATCTTGCTTAAGGGCACCTCATCTAACTTTACATGTCTTTTAAACTATGATGGATTTAAAAATTCATTATCTTAATGTTTGATGTTTGTGAATAACCATAAACGCTCAATTGGGTTATCAATATAAACAAATTATAGTGAAACATAACAGAGACATTTTAGGAAACTGGAATTCTTACATTGGTTTATTAATATTACCATTATCAAAAGCTAAGCACTATCTACATCTTTTATCATTCCACCAGCTGTCTTATCCTCCTACACCTTTAGTAAGGAAATCGAGGAGATATTTTCATTTTTATATGGAACGATATAACAGATAAGATAAAGAAAATACACATGAAAAAGTATAATAATGAAGGAATAAGAATGACTAAAATCAAGCCTTTTATGGACTCAGTTGCAACAATCAAGAGATATATCTCTGTAAAAGTAAAAATGTCAGCCTATGTAATGGCCAATTTCAAGGCTTGCTTCACTTGGATCTGTTTTAATATCAGCAATCTTTTTTGGAAAGATGCATTTTTATCATTCTATAGATACAGATAATTGTTTTACACTGACTCAACATACCTGGAGAATATACAGTTTGTTTCAGAACATATATATATACTATCTTGGCTGTATAGTACAACATTTAAACTTTACCATTCTAACTATGTTATTGTTCATACTATACAAGACCGCCTCCGTGGTGTAGTGGTTAGAGCGTCCGCCCGGAGAGCGGAAGGTCGCGGGTTTGATCCCCGACCGCGTCATACCAAAAGACGTTAAAATATGGTACTTGTTGGTCCCTGCCTGGCGCTCGGCATTAATGGGTACATCAAGGACTGGTCGACTCGGAGTCAGTATAATGTGTCTGAGTGGGGTATTCATGCTTCACTGCGGCATGGTATCTCAGTAGGCTAGCACTATAAAACCAGCTGGGCTAGTACAAGCAGCCGCACATACACATACACACGCATGCACGTCGTCGTCTGAGCGAAATATTCTCAAGCACGACGTAAAACCCAATTTAACCTCACCTCACCTCACCTCACCTCACCTCACCTCACCTCACCTCACCTCACCTCATACTATACAATTCTAAAGTGTTATAATTGTGCTTTGCATTGTTTAGAGAAGTTTCAAACTTCGACTGTGCCGCCATTTTCATGCTTCGAAATGCGTTTTACTACGCGATTTGATTGGTCTGCCACGATTCCTGTAAATAATGGCGTACTATATATAGGTACGAGTCTTCTTGTAGGTGACGGAAAGAGGCGAGTAGTTACGATTTACGAATGTTCTGGCTCGCTGTCAGTGTGTGTCCACTAATAAATGTGTATTTTTCCTGGCAGTGTATAGTGCAAAGGTTATCACCCCATATTGCATATGCTCAAACATTGAGCCATCTGATTATTGCAAGATGCTCTGCAACTACCTGATAATCGATTAAATTATGTCATTTGAATTGTAGGTACGATGAGATTGCATCCGAAGCGAGTTCTCACTGTGTTGTGTTGTGGCATCTTACTTTTCATCATGAAAAACATCTTCACCGAACATCGTATGACGTCATCGGGGACAAAGTCAAGATGGCCGCCAAGGTCTCCATTCTGCATTGAAGTCAACATCTGTAAACACAAAACACACCCGACAGATATTTACTACTATAAACGGACGAATTTTTATGAGCTTGTTGAAAGGCCTGTGAATGTAAATGCCACAGCTGACCATGCTGTTCCTGTTGTACCAAGAATAGTCCATTTCTGTCTTTTCACAAATGGGAATGTTACATTCCGATTTCATTATATGATAGCAGTCCTTGCCGCGTCCCGTATCGCGAAGCCAGAGAAGATTTACTTCTGGCATGACAACCTCCCGGTTGGTGAATATTGGGAAGAGACGAAACAGAAGGTGAAGAATCTGTACCTCGTCCACAGAGACAGACCCACCAAGATCAGAGGCAATGACGTCAGGGTTATAGAGCATGTCGCTGATATTGTGAGACTCGAAGCACTGTTGGAGTATGGAGGGATGTATTTCGACACCGATTCTATAGTCGTCAACCCAATTGACCCTCTTTTAGTCCACGACGTCACAATGGGTCACGCGGTACCATGGGTTTTAGCCAATGGAATTATGTTTTCTAAACCATGGTCTGACTTCTTCCGAATATGGCACAAGACGTATGCAGAATTTGACGACAAAGTCTGGTCCAAACATTCCGTCATGATGCCATATCTGTTATCACAGCAACACCCAAACTTGATTCACATTGAGCCCACAACTCTCTGTCGTCCGAATTATTTAGAACTTAAATACCTGTTTGGTCCTCTGAGATGGAATTGGGAGAATAACAACTTTGTGGTGCATCTATACATGAGATTTGGTCCAAGGAGGAAAAAGGAACGGAACCGAGAAAATATAAAAACATGGAACACAACAGCTGGTAGCATCATGAGATACATATACTATGGAGACGCAGAGTTGATTACAGGAACGACCTGATGCCTAAATTCGATGCTTTTTGAGGTTCACAATTTAGCTGTTTTGACATGTTATAGTCGATAACTTGATATAAACTAACGGGCAAAAGAAATGATACCAAGTCGAAATCACTGATATTACAGAACGACAAACCACCATTGTGATAACAGGACAGTGAATATTAATAACAGGTGTATGGGCAACATGCACTCAGTCACTCCATTGGAGTTACTGTAGCAATAAAAACATGTCCATTAAGTCACTGTATAAATGAAGGAATAAAGTCCAAATTATCAAATTAAATTTTGGTATCGTTTCTTTTGCCCGTTAGTTTAGTTGATACGAGTTTATATTACCATGTGATGTTAGGATCTAACAGTTTATATTACCTGGAATGGCTGCAAGCCTGCTGATGCTGGGTAAAGCAATATTCACTCACAATTTCCTGCATGTGCCATTAGATTATCATGTTAAAATCCATGTCAAGCTCATGTGACTCTGTATCTACTGATATATTGTTGAAATACTGGTGCTAATGCCGCGGAATTGTGCAAACCGTATCTTAGAATCATTGTTGACCATGAATATTGTTAACTTGTAGCAATAAAATAACTTAAACTCAACGTCATGAGTTTTACGTGAATGAGTTTACATGACGATATATGGGTTAACGAGACTACATATAAGCTTACGTGACTATCTATAGTTTTACATGACGATATGGGATTGTACGTGACGATATATGGGTTTACGCGACGATGAGTGAGTGCACGCGACGATATATGGGTTTACGTGACGATATGTGGGTTAACGAGACTACATATAAGCTTACGTGACTATATATAGTTTTACATGACGATATGAGAGTGTACGTGACAATATATGGGTTTAGTGATGATAGATAGGTTTACATGACGATATCTGTGTTTACGTGACGATATATGGGTTTACGTGACGATTAGTGAGTGTATGTGACGATATATAGGCTTACGTGACGATACGTGGGTTAACGTGACGATATGTGGGTTAACAAGACTACATATAAGCATAAGCATATATATAGTTTTACATGACGATATGAGAGTGTACGTGACGATATATGGGTTTAGTGATGATATAAAGGTTTACATGGCGATATGTGTGTTTACGTGACGATATATGGGTTTACGTGGCGATTAGTGAGTGTACGTGACGATATATGGGTTTTCGTGACGATATATAGGCTTACGTGACGATATGTGGGTTTAAGTGACAATATGTGTTTACATGACGATATGCGGGTTTACGTGACTATATATAGGTTTACGTGACTATATATAGTTTTACATGACGATATGAGAGTGTACGTGACGATATATGGGTTTGGTGATGATATATAGGTTTACATGACGATATGTGGGTTTAAGTGACGATATATGGGTTTACGTGACGATTAGTGAGTGTACGTGACGATATATGGATTTTCGTGACGATATATAGGCTTACGTGACGATACGTGGGTTTACGTGACGATATTTGGGTTTAAGTGACAATATATGTTTACATGACGATATGTGGGTTTACGTGACTATATATAGGTTTATGAGACTATATAAAGGTTTACATGACGATATGTGAGTGTACGTGGCAATTTATGGGTTAACATTACAATATATGGGTTTTCGTGACGATATGTGAGTGTACGTGATGATATATGGGTTTATGTGACTATATATAGGTTTACGAGGCTATATATAGGTTTACATGACCATATGTGAGTGTACGTGATGATATATGGGTTTACTTGACGATATAATATGTTTACGTGACGATATGTGGGTTGTACGAGACAATATATATGTTTACATTACGATATATAGGTTTACATGACGATATGTCAGTGTACTTGACGATATTATATGGGTTTACATCATGATATGTGGGTTTACGTGACGATATATATGTTTACTTGACAATATGTGGGTTTACATAATGATATATTGGTATACGTGACAATATGTGAGTGTACGTGACGATACATTGTTTTTACGTGACGATATATCGGCTTACGTGACGAGACGTGGGTTTACGTGACGATACATGGGTTAACGTGACAATATATATGTTTACATGATGATATGTGTGTTTATGTGACTATATATAGGTTTTCGAGACTATATATAGGTTTACATGACGATATGTGAGTGTACGTGACGATATATGGGTTTACGTGATGATATGTGGATTTTCGTGAAGAAATATATGTTTACGTGACAACATGTGGGTTGTACGAGACAATATATGTCTTTCCATTACGATATATGGGTTTACGTGACTACATGTGAGTGTACTTGACGATGTATGGGTTTACGTGACGATATATAGGTTGACGTGACGATATGTGGGTTTACGTGACGATATATAGGTTGACGTGACGATATATAGGTTGACGTGACGATATGTGGGTTTACGTGACGATATATGGGTTTACGTGACGATAAGTGAGTGCACATGAAGATATATGGGTTTTCGTGACGATATATAGGCTTACGTGACGATACCTCGGTTTACGTGACGATATTTGGGTTTAAGTGACAATATATGTTTACATGACGATATGTGGGTTTACGTGGCCATATATAGGTTTACGAGACTATAAAGGTTTACATGACGATATGTGAGTGTACGTGACAATATATGGGTTTACATTACAATATATGGGTTTTCGTGACGATATGTGAGTGCACGTGATGATATATGGGTTTACGTGATGATATGTGGGTTTACGTGACGATATAATATGTTTACGTGACGATATGTGGGTTGTACGAGACAATATATATGTTTACATTACGATATATAGGTTTACATGACGATATGTCAGTGTACTTGACGATATATTGGTTTACATAATGATATGTGGGTTTACATGACGATATATAGGTTTACTTGGCAATATGTGGGTTTATATGACGATATATTGGTATACGTGACAATATGTGAGTGTACGTGATGATATATTGTTTTTACGTGACGATATATAGGCTTACGTGACGAGACGTGGGTTTACGTGACGATACATGGGTTTACGTGATGATATGTGGATTTTCGTGAAGAAATATATGTTTACGTGACGATATGTGGGTTGTACGAGACAACATATGTGTTTTCATTACGATATATGGGTTTACGTGACTATATGTGAGTGTTCTTGACGATACATTGTTTTTACGTGACGATATATAGGCTTACGTGACGAGACGTGGGTTTACGTGACGATACATGGGTTAACGTGACAATATATATGTTTACATGATGATATGTGTGTTTATGTGACTATATATAGGTTTACGAGACTATATATAGGATTTACATGACGATATGTGAGTGTACGTGACGATACATGGGTGTACGTGATGATATGTGGATTTTCGTGAAGAAATATATGTTTACGTGACAACATGTAGGTTGTACGAGACAATATATGTGTTTCCATTACGATATATGGGTTTACGTGACAATATGTGGGTTTACGTGATAATATGTGGGTTTACGTGATGTTATATATGTTTACTGATGAAATGTGAGTGTACGTGATGATATATGGGTTTACTCGACGATATGTTGGTTTACGTGATGATATATATGTTTTTGTGACAATATATGGTTTAACATGACGATACATGGGTGTACGTGACGATATATGTGTTTACATGATGATATGTAGGTTTACGTGACGATATATATGTTTACATCACGGTATATGGGTTTGCGTGACGATATGTATGTTTACGTGATGATATATGGGTTTACATGACGATATGCGAGTGTACGTGATGATATAAGGGTTTTCGTGACGACATGTTGGTTTTCGTGACGATATATATGTTTACGTGACGATATATGTGTTTACTTGACGATATGTGTGTTTTTGTGATAACATATATGTTTACATGACGATATATGGATTTACGTTACGATATGTGAGTGTACGTGACGATATGTGGGTTTACATGATGATATATATGTTTACGTGACGATATATGGGTTTCAATTACGATACGTGAGTGTACCTGATGATATATGGGTTTACATGACGATATGTAGGTTTGCGTGACGATGTATATGTTTACGTGATGATATATGGGTTTATGTGACAATATATATTTTTACTTGACGATATATGGGTTTACGTGACAATATGTGTGTTTTCGTGACTTTATATATGTTTACGTGACGATATGTGGGTTTCTGTGACAATGTATATGTTTACTTGACGATATATAGGTTTACGTGACGATATGTGAGTGCACGTGACGATATATGGGTTTACGTGATGATATGTGGGTTATGTGACAATATATATTTTACATGACGATATTTGGGTTACGTGACGATTAGTGACTGTACGTGACGATGTATGGGTTTACATGAAGATATGTAGGTTTACGTGATGATATGTGGGTTTACGTGACAATATGTATGTTTACATGACGATATGTGGGTTTACGTGACTGTATATAGGTTTACATGACGATATGTAAGTGTGCGTGACTATATATGGGTTTACGTGACGATATATGGCTTTACAAAAATAAAACGAATGGTCAGTTGAGATAAGTAATTTGTAAAGGCTTATGGAAATGCATATCAAAGGATTATTGTACATGCCATATATAATTTCATACCACATCATGAAATTCCAGCCATTGCATGCTATCAGGCAAACACAAGTGTTGAAAGTCTTGGATTGAAACGGTGTGGCTCTATGTTGTCACACATGGTTGTATATGAAACAATCAGTGGGGAAGTTTTTTTGTATATATTTTGTTGGGTGTTCGTTTGGAGACCAGATATTTTCAGCCTCTGCCTAAAAATCGAGATTATTTCTTTGATTAAAACTGTAGGCCCAAATACATTTTTCTCTCAGAAAGACCTTGCAACAATGCAATTCTTTTTCACACTGGCTAAATAATATATTTCTCCTACATGTAAATAATTAAGTCTGAACCAGACAATACAGTGATCAACAGTACGAGCATCGATCTACACAAGTGGGATACGAAGTCATGTGCTACCTCAGTCAGCGAGTCTGACCCCCCGATCCCGTCAGTAGCCTCCTATGATAAGCATGGAATGTGAGGTGAGGTGAGGTGAAATTGGGTGAGGTGAGGTGAGGTGAGGTGAAATTGGGTTTAACGTCGTGCTTGAGAATATTTCGCTCAGACGACAACGTGCATGCGTGTGTATATGTATGTGTGGCTGCTTGTACTAGCCCAGACTGAAGCTGGTTTTACAGTGCTAGCCCATTGAGATACCATGCCGCAGTGAAGCATGAATATCCTACTCAGACACATTATACTGACTCCGAGCCGACCAGTCCTTGTTGTACCCATTAATGCCGAGCGCCAGGCAGGGACCAACAAGTACCATATTTTAACGTCTTTTGGTATAACGCGGTTCGGGGATCGAACCCGCGACCTTCCGCTCTCCGGGCGGACGCTCTAACCACTACACCACGAAGGCGGTCCATGGAATGTCATAAGATATATACATACATAAACTTTTTCATTTTAACGGTATAGTTTCCGAGCGAGATTGTCCAAATAATGCATATTCGCTCTGGGGAATT